GTTTGTTAAAAGGAAAGAGAGGGACAAAGGGTTTAACTGTAAACTGTAAGCATGGTTGTGATGTTTTATTTTTTATTATTACTTATTTTTTTATTTTGGTTCAACCTCAGCTTCTCCAATAATTCTAAAATAAACTTTGTAGCCAAAATACAGACCCTTAAGGACAAAAATGTCCCCATTGAATCCCACTGAAAAACAGTATAGGGAAACAAACTGGCATTGAAAGGGTTAAAAGAAATCCTGAATATGGATACATTTTTTGGTTGTTATGCTCTTGACTGTTAAACATTTAATTAAGTGAAAGTAGAAAATAATGTTAATATATAATTTTATGATCATCTTCTGATGAGAGCATATTTTTTTAAGTGAAGCACAAGCGTCTCGCTGAAGGCATGCTACACTGTGATACATATTTGTTCAAGATGTGTTTACCTACGTGTTACAAAGCACTATATTGTGTTTTTCACTTTCAAAAATGTTCATTCAGTATGAATTGAGGTTCCTCGTAAGTACTTCTATTGTGTAACAATGCAACTTAAGATTTGTTTTGGTCACATTCAGTTTGGCAGAATGATTGATCTCGTCTTCAGAGTTGTCTGTGTTACCCGACTGCAGTGCATTCTGGTTGCACTGTGACTCGGATGTCCACTGGAAGTGCTTCAGAGGTGGAGCGACTTCAAACAGTCTTCAACATAATGCCACAATATTTAACAAGTATAAATGTGGTGTTAATGGAAGTAATGCAACATTCAATTATTGCACGAGAAAACTTTAAACGTAAACAAAATTACAACCTTCAACCCAAAAATGTAACCAAAAAGAAGTAACAGACTAAACGAAGAACAAATAGATCAACATGTTTTATTTGACCGCTTTGAGATCAACCAGCTGCTGAAAGGCAAACATGAAGCAGAGTCCGGTTCTCAGCGGTGCGGCCATCTTCCTTGACAACACCGCTGGAAGTCATTTTTAATGAAATGTTCTCTGTGCAGCCGAACCACGAGGCGAGTCTCAGATCCTTTCGCTGTCATCCGTTAATGACATGTTCTCCCTCAGTTGCCTGACGAGTCAGGCCGAAGCCGACCAAAGCAGCCAGCGGGTGAGGAGGGGCTGTGAGCTGCGTTAAGAAGGCCTTGCCGCTTTAGTTTAGTCACAGGGGTTCGACTGCACCCAGGGACGTTTGCACGGGGACAAACATGCAAGCAGGAATACTACCGTTGCTAGTAGAGCCATCGGAGGGCAGTGAGCAGCTTCCTGAGACAGTTTGTGATCATCAAGTTAACACCCCCCCCCCCCACACACACACACACTCCCCCCACTCCCACTGGGCCACTGGAAAGAAAAGATGGACTAAAGAGGATTAATCTACAGCGGCCTTCAAAAGGCTGAGCTCCTGTAAATTTTCTCTGGGTACTTTGGGAGGATTGTTGAGTCTTTATAGACCACCTTGAGTGTGAAGTACCACACAGGTCTAGCGAGTACAGCTGCAACCCTTTTGTCTTGTAAAAAAGTAAAAGAAAACGTGGGAAACAGCACTCTGACAACGAGAGGAAATAACTCATGAAAAGGCAACACCACTCAGATGTTTCCTCAACATGGCCGGAACAGAGTTGAAAATAGTAAGGCAGTTAATATAACGGCATTAACCTTTTCTTTAGTCCTTCAAACAGCAGACGCAGAGCGCCACCAAGGCTGCAAGCAAGCGCAAGCATCACAAACGGAAGACTAAGGAAGGATAAGTGGGGAACAAGGGTTTCAATCGCTTCCTGGAGCTGCTAAAAAAAAATTTTTAAATATGACAGAAATTGTGTACAGCTTATTGTGACGAAGGGAAAATATGATCTACATGTACTCATCCTTTTTGCAGTCAAAAATAGTGTCAATATTTTCTAAATGTAGCCTATTGTTGGTAATATTTTTAATCATTAGTAAAAGTAAAAAACAATTCAAGAACATATTTGTTTTTCGTCTCAGAGGCATGGATGTATAAAGAGGGAATCTGTGTTTGATTGACAGCAGCTGGCAGGATGACATACTGCCTGGACATGAAGTAAACAAACGTGCGCTGTGTGTGTGTGTGTGTGTGTGTGTGTGTGTGTGTGTGTGTGTGTGTGTGTGTGCAGACACCTTGTTGTTGGCGCTGTTGAAGAGCGAGGACCACGACAGCATCCAGCAGGACCCAAAGTGACATTAGCAGGTATGTTTACATGCTGTTTAACGAGCTTTCTGGCCTGCAAACTGACGTTAGTGCCGCACTTCTGTTTCGGTGGTGCGTTCAGGTGCAGGAGGAGACGCGTGTTGCTCTTTGTAAGTTATAAGAAAGGAGTCTTTGGCAGGAAAGCTGTGTCTCTTGTGTTGTGTTGCAGCATCTAACAAGATGTTTTCCTCATCAGAGTAGCTGCTGTTTAAACATCTGGACAAGGCATGAGACAATATGAAAATGAAATATAATGAACTATCATAAAACATATGAAATTACTTCACCTTACATTCCGGTAACAAACAAATATTTGTATTGCATCACACATAGGACACATCCTTTTTTTGTGAAGATACTTTTTAGTGAAAAACAATGGAAAAAAAAAAATCATTCGTTCCTTCTGCATAAATGACAGATAGATTAAATGAATGAATAGCGACACTGTTCTGTCTTCAATTCAAAATCCTGTTATCTTAAAATCACGTCTCTACCATGAAAGCAAGCTAGACGGCTTTTGTTCTCCAGTTACTCATGTGACAATAGTCCTGATTATCCTGATAATGGAAATTCACCACCAATTTAGTGTTTGATTTTCATCGCAATCTGTGATAAAATCCTATAATAAATCATCATAATCTGGACACACATTATATATATATATATATATATGAAATAATCTTGTGCTCTACTCACTTTCAAACACTCAATCCTTGTCTCATTGTACAGTGACCTGGCCTATTAGACTTGCTGGGTGCCACCATCTCATCTCCATCTATTTATGCGGCTTTCTCACCTTACTTCTTTCTCTCCCCTCTTTTTTCTTCTTGTCCTCCTCCTCTTCTCTCTCTTTTGAACCACACAGCCGTTGCAGAGCTTGGAACTCAAGCTGGCTTTTCTCTTTTTTTTTTTCGAGCAGTGTTGATTAATCTTTATTTGAATTACAGAGCAGGCCTGCTTTTTTTTTTTTTTGGAGATCTTGGTTTTAGGGATTAGCAAGGATTTGTTCAGACCTACGTGACGGAGTGAGAGAAG